TTTATTAAAAAAAATTTTTTTTTTAATGTTTATTTATTTTTTGAGAGAGAGAGAGAGAGTGAGCAGGGGAGGGGCAGAGAGGGAGAGAGGGAGAACCAGAATCTGAAGCAGGCTCCAGGCTCTGAGCTGTCAGCACAGAGCCCGATGTGGGGCTCGGACCCACAAGCTGTGAGATCATGACCTGAGCCAAAGTCAGACGCTTAACCGACTGAGCCACCCAGGCACCTCCCCACAAAATTTTATGTTTAAGTAGTCTCTACACCCAACATGGGCTGGAACCCACAATTATTATTTTTTTTTTTACTTAAAAAAATTTTTTTAATGTTTATTTATTTTTGAGAGAGACAGAGTGTGAGCAGGGGAGGAGTAGAGGGAGGGAGACACAGAATCGGAAGCAGGCTCCAGCCCCTGAGCCGTCAGCACAGAGCCCGACGCAGGGCCCAAATCCACAAACCATGAGATCATGACCTGAGCCGAAGTTGGATGCCCAACCAACTGAGCCACCCAGGTGCCCCTGGAACCCACAATTCTGAGATCAAGAGTCACATGCTCACTGACTGAGCCAGGTGCCCCATCAGTGGAACAACATTTTTAAAGTGCTTAAATAGAAGAAATAATCAGGCCAGGATTCTATGTGGGGCAAAAATACCTTTCAGGGAGGAAGGTGAAGAAAGACATTCTCAGATCAAAGAAGATTAAGAGAATTAATCACTAGCAGACCTGCTCTCAAAGAAATGCTAAAGGGAGGTGTTCAGGCAGAAGAGAAATGATACCAGAGGGAAGCTTAGAACTTAAGGAACGAAGAAAGAGCAACAAAATGATAAATATACAAATAAATGTAATAGATGAATTTTCTCCTCTTAAGTTCTTTAAAATACGTATAATGTTGCGGTAAAGTTGTAAGGTTTGTACACTTTGCTCTAAGTGTTAAAATACTAACTTAGTAGACCACAGTCTAGTTAGGCACCCGTAATTACAATCCCTAGAGAACCCCCCCAAAAAAAACTAAACTAAAATCCTGAGATATAGCTAAAACATCAACATATAAATTCAAAATGGAATGCTAAGGAATTGAAGTCAATGAAAATCGTGGAGTAAGGGATTCCGAAAGCCAGCCCCTTCATAACAGCAATACAAAATCAACCTTTTTGGATCACCAGCAATGAGCTAAAAGCTTGCAGCATCCCAAGAAGTACCTGTTTAAAAAAATGGCTGATCTTGGTAAGAGCAGTAAACTTTGTGACATCTGACCTTACTCTGCCCTGGGACTAGGCTCTGAAGTAGCCTTGAAAATGGCAGCTGAATTCCTGGGACCAGTGATGAAGTTTTTGGGTTGATGGCGGGGTGGTCCGGAGCCAATGGCCAAGAAAGAATTCTTGAAGACGTCTTTTGTACAAAAAGGTGATTTTATTAAAGCAAGGGGACAGGACTCGTGGGCAGGAAGAGCTGCACTGGGATTGTGACAGGTAACTCATTATATACCCTCAGGTTGGGAGGGGGTCAGGGATAGAGTAAGTCTCTAAGGAATTTTGGAAGTTCGAGCCCCGCGTCGGGCTCTGTGCTGACAGCTCAGAGCCTGGAGCCTGCTTCGGATTCTGTGTCTCCCTCTCTCTGCCCCTCTCTCGCTCATGCTCTCTCTCTGCCTCAAAAATAAAATAAAAACATTTTTTTAAATTATAAAAAAAAACAAAAAAAGCAAAAAACAAAGAAAGAAAAACAGATTCCCTGCAGAGGCTTCACTTGCAGGCCGATTCTTACCCACTGGCTGAACATGGCGGGGAACCCCCGAAAGCCACAGGCTCCTGTGGCTGAGAAAGCACTTGCGGTTGGGGTCCTTTCCAACCAAGGATGGCCCTTAACACGCAGCTGCCTCTGGCTCATTGCTCCTTATCTTGAGGGATGCCCCGAACTCCAGACTTGAAAAAACACACACAGGAATTTATTAGGCAATCTGGTTTGGTCTGCTCTCCTGTCATGGCCTCTGGCCAGGAACACAAGGGCAGACAAACCGCAGGGTTACATTTCATCCCACAGGTTAATCTCGGCCCTTTACTGCTCACTGTTCACTGTGACCCTCTGTCATTCCTCACTTTTAGCCCAGGGCAGTGCAACCTCATAGTTACCGGGACCTTTCCTTCCCAAAACTAGTAAATGAGAAATCAAAGCTGATACCTTCCATCGCATGCTAGGAAAAAACCAAGGGAAGCAGATAGCCCTGGGGCGCCCCTGCACGGTGGAGGGGACACTATCTGCTGGGTTTCTGTCAAAAGAAGTGCCTAAAATTGTATCCCGTCTTCTCTCCCTGATGACTGCAGACAGGGCATTGCTGCCGCTCACGTTTACTAAGTTTGTTTTTTTTTTTCTTTTTTAAATTTTTTATATGTTTATTTACTTTAGAGAGAAAGAGAGAGAGAGACAGAGTATAAGCAGGGGAGGTGCAGGGAGAGGGAGACACAGAATCCGAGGCAGGCTTCAGGCTCCAGGCTGTCAGCACAGAGCCCACGAACCCTGAGATCATGGCCTGAGCTGAAGTCGGACGCTTGATCAACTGAGCCACCCAGGCGCCCCTCACGTTTACTAAGTTTTAAGAATACATTCCATAAACTCTATAAAACAGTTTAGAAAAAATTTATTTGAACATATGAAAGGAAAATTTAGACCCCAATAAAACAGAGAAGCTCCTCGGCGGTGAGGGCGGCCCTGGCCGGGTCCCCCACCCAGCGTCGAGCTCTCGGAGCTACTGGAGACCCTGGGGACAGGGACCCGCCACATTCACAAGCAGAGAAGCCAAACGGACCTGCAAAGGCTGCTCATGACACCCGTGCCCGGCCGCTCGGGCTCCCGGCACATCTGAAACGCCACACAGGCCCTCGGGCTGGTGGAACCAGCACCGGGGACGCCCATCCCATTCGGCGCGCCTTCTTCCTTCCATCCATCCGGTCTGGACTCCTGTGACAGTCACCCGGGCGGGAGGCACCCGGACTTCCCCACGCTGCGCAGCTTCCGCGCCAAGACAGTCCTGCCGCTGAGGGGCGGGGAGGGGGGCCGCCGGCTGCCCCCCAAAGGTCCTCTTCTATGGGGTGGCTCCCCCTTTCTCTGGAAGGCTTCCTCCGGCCCCGGCGGAAGGCACACTGCCACTCGGCGGCACGCGGGGCCGGACTAGCGGATGGGCCTGAACGGGAACGTCATGCCCGAGATGAAGGTGTGGCCCGGGTGCGTGGGCAGCGCGGGGTGGGCGGCGGGGTGGGCCGGCACGGCCCCGTAGCCCAGCGGGGGCGTGTGGATGTGAGGGTAGAAGCCTGGGGGGAGCGCCGCGTGGGGCGCCTGCTGCACCGGGCCCGAGATCACCAGCTGGAGCAGGCTGCAAATACAAGGACAAGGATTAGGTGTGCGGCGGCTGGGCGGGCCTGTCCACTCGTGGATGTGCTGCGGCCGGGAAGGACAGAAGGCCTGGATCGGCGGTGGCCTCGCGCGAGCGCCAGGAGGGGCACCAGCTGCAGGTCCAGAGCCTGCACGTTTCCAGGCATGGAGATCTGTGAACACGCGTTGCATGGGGGCGGCTTGTGGCTGGGGAACAGCGGCAGGAGAAGTGACCTGGAG